ATGCTCAAGCTCCTGCAGCTGCTTCTTTAGCTGCTCCACCTGCTGGTACTGCTGCTGCAGCACTTCTTTCTGTCGCTGCAGCAGCAGCTTGCATGAAGCAGCAGCAGCGCTGGGGGCCCCCTGAGGACTGCTTGCTGCAGCTGCATAGTTTAGCTGCCCTGGGGGGGGCCCCTCTCTCGTCTGCGACTGAGACAAACCTCCCCTCTGTTGCAGCGGGGGCCCCCTAGGGGCCCCCGCGGGGGCCCCCCAGCTCCCACCTACAGAGCCAGGGGCCCCACAGCTCTGACAGGTAGCTGCTGAGTGCCGCTGTCCTGCTGCTGTCTCTCCCTCTGTGAAGCATAAACAGAACACAGCAAGTCACACAAGATACGCCGCATGCATGCGTGCATGCATGCATGCATGCATGCATGGTGGTGCATGCACAGCCCCAAACTGCATGCAGAGGTGTAGAGAGGCAAGGGCCCAGCAGCAACAACAGCAACAGCACAAGACTCACCAGGAGCTGCTGCATAAGCTTGCAGCGGCTGCCTTCTGGACCTGCTGCTGCGTCTGCTGCTCCTGTTGCGCCTGCTGCTGCTGTTTAGGTAAGGAGGGGCGGGGGCGCCTGAAGCAGCCCCACACAGCTCCCCCCCACTGCTGTTCACCCCCTGCTGCTGCTGCTGCTGCTGCTGCTGCTGCTGCTGCTGCTGCTGAGGGGCCCCCTGGGGCTCCCTAAATAGAAGGGCCTCTGTGAACACCCCGGGGCCCCCGGGGGTGCCGTCGCCGACCATGGAGGCCCACCAAGGCGGTTTGAGTTGTTTTCTGCTGCTGCTGTTGCTGTTGCTGTTGCTGTTGCTGCTGCTGCTGCTGCTGCTGCTAGCCAGGGGCACAGCAGGAGTTGCTGCTGCACGCACAGAGAGAAACTCCCCAGCAAAGTGAGAAAGGGGCCGCCAGAACGCGTCGCTCGTCTCCGTCGTCCACTCAGCCTCAGCAACGCTATAGCCAGGGGGCCTGCAGCATAATATAAAGAAACAAGCAGCAACCATATGTACTGAGACCCTCTTCTCTTATATATATATATATATATATATATATATATATATATATATATATATATATATATATATATAT